TCCAAATTCTTTTCATTCTAAAACATCACAGGATGTGAACTGTTGCAGGGCTTGTTTTCATCTCTCTGATCACTTGCACGAACTTTCTCTCCATTCTTCTGAAATTTCACAAAGATAAACCATCAGTGGCTTTGGTTGTTTTACTCAGCCTTGTTGCAGGTGCTTCGTGGGACCTTTCAAATTGGAAAATCATGTCTTTCGATTGTAGAATTTTTATATTCCCTGTAGTGTTTAAGTTATTGTGATCTAAACCTGTGGAAGCCACAGTGATTTAAACACTGATTCAAGAAACAAGAAATTCAAATGAAGTGGAAAAAGATTCATAGTGAAAACATAAAAGACTTAGACCTAAGAGATTAAATGAACAAAGAGTGAAAGTTCCATTTGTCAAGATTACAGGACACACACACACACACACACACACAAATGATAGAAAAATAATCCTTAACCGAAGAAAAACTTGAGCCTTCAAATCAAAAGGACCCAATGAATGAATTACCACTAACACACAGCTGGTGCCCAATAACCTGTCAGAAAAGGACAACCTGATGTCCACTAGTGACAGGGATCTCTGGTGGTATAGCCATGGGGACCTGGGCTGTAACGCAAAGGCCGCGTGCCTCTGGCACTTCCAGCTGCTCTGAGGTGGAAACATGGGCAGTCTCCTCCCACTCAATTTACAACCCCAGAAATCTTAGGGATGGTCAGCTATGAATGAGTAAGTGAGAGTGAGTGACAGAAAGTGGGAAAACTGCACCCTGTCAAGGGTAGGAAACTCATAAATCCCAGAAAAGCAAGGCAGTCCCAGTAAACAATAGCGGGTCTAGGATTTACTGCATTTATTAGATTATAAAACACAATACATGGGAATGACTGTATGAAGCAAAATATGAATGAAAAAAAGGGAAACACAATGTATACAAACTCTGTAAGCACATCAATGTCAATTTAAAAAGGGGGGGAACCTAAATTGAGGGCAAGATATATTATTAAAACAAACAAACAAGATAGAAATTGTAAAAACAAAACAATGGGCAAGAGAAATGAAGTGCTTGGCACTTAACTGCTTTACTCTACCATCTCACTGCAAGAGAACACAGGGCTTATCTCTCTTGCTCACCATAATAGTCCCAGAGCCCAGCCCTTCTACCCCACCTCCCTTCATGGCATGACACAGCAAAAGTCAGTGCAATGTTGATTTAACAAGCTTACAAATTAAGCTATTAAGCAATGTTTAAAGATGTTGTGTGACTTGGCCAAGATTACAGAAATAAGAGACAGTAGTCTTCTTACTACTGATTAAAAAGTCCACAAGTTTATACTTTTCATCCAAAACTAACAACTGGTAGACTAAAAATAAAGTGTGAACTTGTAAGTAAACAGAGGAAAAGAGCAACCAGAACAAAGAAAATTCAAAAAGGAAAAAAGTAAGTAAAAAAAATAAATCACAAAGATACCTAAAAAATAGGAAGACAGTAGAAAAATGGGCCAAGAGTATAAGCAATCAACTCATAGAGGAAATAAAAATATTCATGCTTACAAAAATCTTACCAGAGCTTCTTAAAAAAACTCAACATAAAAGTTAGCACATGAAAATGGACATGCTGTTCCTCAGCACTCTGGAGAGGTCTCTCTCCCCGACCCTCTGGACAGATCTCCCCAGTGGAACACATTCTGGGCTTCCTGAATGCTGCTGCTACTACGGGTGTTGAAAGTGGATTGAACTGGAATGAAATAATTGACAACGGCAATCTTTTCTCCATCTATCATAATATTGCTTATTGGTCCAGTGGTGAGGATTTTGTTTTCTTGATGTTGAGATGTAATCCATATTGAAGGCTGTGGTCTTTGATCTTCTGCAACAAGTGCTTCAAATCTTCACTTTCTACCAGCAAGGTTGTGTCATCTACATAAAACAGGTTGTTGTTGAGTCTTTCTCCAATCCCGATGCCACATTCTTCTCCACAAAGTCCAGCTTCTGGAACGATTTGCTCAGCATACAGATTGAATAGACAATAAAGGATTCAATCCTTACACACACCCTTCCTGATTTTAACCCATGCAGTGTTCCTCATTTGGTTCACGCAACAGCTTCTTGGACTATTATAGTTTTCTCATGAGAACAATTAAGTGTTCTGGGATTCTACTCAATGTTATTCACACTATATTATTATATTAGTAAATATATTAACAATATGTCTATTGAATACATTTTCACTTTTCTTTCATTTGTTCATGTTGTTGTTATGTGCTGTCGAGTCATCTATGACTCATAGCGACCCTATGCACAATAGCTCTGAACTCTGCTCTGTCCTCAGCCAATCTCACTGTCTCTGCCACATTCACCCTCATGCCCCTAGTTACTGTATCAATCCATCTCTTCTGGGGTCTTCCACTCCTGCACTGTCCCTCCACCTTCCAAGCATGATATTCTTCTCCAAGGACTGGTCTCTTCTGGCAACATGCCCAAAGTATGTAAGACAGAGCCTCAAAATCCTTGCCCCCAAGGAGTAACTTGGTTTCACCCTCTCCAGGACAGACCTGTTTGTTCTCTTGGCAGTCCATGGTATGTTCAACACACCTCTCCAGCACCACGGCTCAAAGGCATCAAATCTTCTTCTGTCATCCTTGGTCATTGTCCAGTTCTCTGTGGCATACATAGCAAGTAATGGTGAACATTATGGTCTGGATCAGGTGCCCTTTAGTTTCCAGACTGACATTCTTGCTCTTCAGGACTCTGGAGAGGTTCCTGACAGTAGATTTTTCTAGTGCAGTTCATCTTTTGACTTCTTGACTGTTGGTGCCAAGAGTGTTGACTGTGGAGCCTAGCAAGCGGAAATTGTTAACAATCTCAATCTCTTCTTTATCTATCATGGTGCTATCAATTGACCAAATGGTGAGAATTTTTGTTTTCTTACTGTTGAGTCGATCTATATTGCAGACCAAGTTCTTGACCCTCTGCAGAACAAAGTCTTCAGGTCCTCCTCAGTGTCTGCAAGCAAGGTTGTGTCATCTGCATAATGAAGATTGTTGATGAGTTTTCCTCCAATCCCAATGTCACATTCCTCTACATAAAGTCCAGCCTCCCGAATGATCTGTTTTACATATAGCTTGAAAAGGTGTGGAGTCAGAATGAATCCCTGATGCACTCCTTTGCTGATTTTGAACCATGCAGTGTTTCCTTGCTCTGTTCTGATGAGTGCCTCCTAGTCCAAACATAGGTTTCACATGAGCACAATCAGGTGTCCTGGGATTCCCATTCTTCTCAAGGTTAATCACATTTTGTTATGATCCACACAGTCAAATGCCTTTGCATAATCAATGAAACACAGAGAGATATTCCTCTAGTGCTCTCTGCTTTTGACCAAGATCCATCTGACATTGGCTACAATGTCCCTAGTGCCATGGCCTCTTCTAAACCCAGCTGTATGCCTAGTAGTTCTCTGTCAATGTATTCTTCCAGTAGTTTTTGGATGATCTTCAGTAGGACTTTGCTTGTATATGATACTAGTGACATTGCAGTGGTGGAGGAGGAGAGATCAGCATCACAGAAGTGCCTTGGAGACCTGAGCTACCATATCAAGAGTTGGCTGGGGGCAAGGGGGGGGGAGGGGAAGAAGGAGGGAAACTGGCTAGACAAGGAGGAAGAAGTCAGCAAGGAGAGGAGTAGAAGTGGTTGCATGTTCATAGATTGTATATATATTCTGAACTGTACATATTGGTGTTACTAGGGGCCATCAAGTCACCTACAACTCCTAGAGATCCTGTGAACAGATCTGAACCTTGTCTTATCCCGTACCATCCTCACAATCTCTAATATGATCAAGCCTATTGTTATAGTTGAGAGTGGGGTGGAGCTCCCCCATTAAAACAAGCTTGGAAGGAGGAGTGGCATCCACTTCCATAAGAGCTTGCCTCCGGAAACCCTATGAACCTGGAGAGAGAATGAGAGACACCGAAACATTGAGGACTCTCCTTCATATGGTCGCTATGAGTTGCCTGCGACTCGACAGCTTTTAACAACAACAATTGTTATAGTCACTGTATTAGTCCATCTTGTTAAGATCTTTCTTTCTCCCCAGCATGATGTCCCTTTCTAAGGACTGGTGTCTCCTGACAACATGCCCAAAGTATGTGAGACCAAAAGTCACCATCCTTGTCTCCAAGGAGCACTCTGGTTGCACTTTCTCCAAGACATCTTTGTTCTTTTGGCAATCATGGGATACTCAATATTCTCCAACCCCATAATTCAAAGGCATCAATTCTTTTTCTGTCATCCTTATTGTCCAACTTTGAGATGCATAGGAGGCAATTGGTTTGGATCAGGTGCACCTTCGTCTTTAAATTGACATCCTTGCTCTCCAGCACTTTAGAGAGGTACTTGGTAATAGATTCTCCACCCCCCCACCCCCCCACCCCCCCGTGGAACACGTTAGAGAACACAGAAATTTAAGGGAGACAGAAATTTCAAATAAGGCGGATCTGGATTTGCTTAAAGGTAAGTGAGGGGTAAAGGAAGAACACGTTTTCCTGAAGGAGGCTCTTCTTGCACAAAGGGTGTGCACTGCATAAATCAAGAAGATGCCAAGTCTTACATAGGGCATTCATTCATGGCATTTACTGACCACGTGCTGACCAGGAGCAAAGTGCCTTAACCTCAGGAAACTAAACTTGTCTAAGGAAGTGGATTTTGAATTGGGGTTTAAGAAGTTATCAGCTGAATCCCAGTTGTGAGTTAAGCAGGATGAGCAATGCGGGAAAACAAAGACAAGACTGAAAACAAGATAGAGGAGTTTAAGGGGTCGCACTTGCGCACCTCCACCTCGAACCAGGAAGTAAGTCCAGGGCCTCGCAGCTCATAGGTTGCAGCTTTCTGTTCCGCCCCGCCCCTGAGGGTTCGGTCTCGGGTTGAGCCAATCGCAACTGCGTCTACACCCGTGGTCCCGCCCCTGTCCCATCCCAGTTCTAACTCGGTCCCCGGGCCCCGCACCGACAGAACCATGGAGGGCCGCGGACTGGGCCGGGCTTTGTGCGTGCTGACCGGGGCCTCTCGCGGCTTCGGCCGAGCCCTGGCCCCGCTTCTGGCCTCGCTGCTGGCGCCCGGCTCCATGCTGGTCCTGAGCGCCCGCAATGAAGAGGCGCTGCAGCAGCTCGAGGCTGAGCTGGGCGCGAAGCGGGCCGACCTCCGGGTGCTGCGGGCGCCCGCCGACCTGGGCACCGAGGCCGGCCTGCAGCAGCTGCTCGGGGTCCTGCGCGAGCTCCCCAAGCCCGAGGGGCTGCAGCGGCTGCTGCTCATCAACAACGCGGGTAAGCCATCCGCAGCCCGGGCAGGCGCTTTTCAGGTGCAGCCCTGTGAACCCGCTTTTCTCTTCTCCCGGATCCTCTCACTGACCCCTCTGCTTGAGAAGACAGGGAGTCAGAAAAGGGACCCAAAGAGCCAAGTGCTCCCGTGTGGGTACTGCGAGAGGAAGGCCGGTGCCATTGGGCGCTCTGTCCCCTCCCACCTGGTCCCACCCCGTAGAACTTTCCTGATCGACTGCTTGAGCTCCCTCTGGCGGCCGCTGCAGTCACGACCTGGGGTCCTCCACATTGCTACTGAGACAGACTGACCCTCCAGCCGGCTTTTAGATGTAAACCTCGGGAGAGGAGATTGCCCTTCTTTATACTGCGGAGCACCTTGTGGGTTTGAACCACCTGCTTCTGGACTAGTGATGCAACTCTTCACCCACCAGGGCACCAGGTCTTCCTGGTGGTGAAGAAAGTCCCCCACCCCCCAACATTTAGGGAATGTTCCCCTATTCACAAAGGAACACTGGCATCTTCCTAGCCCACAAGCGAAAAGGGGGTGGGGCGTGAACTTCTGCAAAGCTCAGCAAGAAGGGGATGTCTGCAAAAAACGCAACAGGACTGCCCTGCATGGTCTGGTGGAACTTGGCAAGTGCTGGGATAGGATAGGAGATAAAGCAATGGTTAAACCCTCAGCTCATAACCAAGAGTTTGGCAGCCGCTAGCGGCTCCTCTGGAGAGAAAGATGGAAAAAAGCTTTTGTAAAGAATTACAGCCTTGGAGAGCCCACCGGCTTTTCTGTTTCCTGTGGCAGTGCGTTGGGTTTGGGTTTAGGGGAAGAATGCACTTTCTCCCTGTGGCTGTGTAATGATTATCCTAATGTCTCCTTTTTTGCAGCCAGCCTTGGCGATGTGTCCAAATACTTTGTGAACCTCTCCGACCCAGCTGAAATGAACAACTACTGGTCTCTGAACTTGACCTCCATGATCTGCCTGACTTCCGGCATCCTGAAGGCCTTCCCTGAGAGTCCTGGCTTCAGCAGAACCGTGGTCAACATCTCATCCCTCTGTGCCAAACAACCTTTCAAGGGCTGGACCCTGTACTGTGCAGGGAAAGCTGCCCGGGACATGATGTGTCAGGTCCTGGCCTCAGAGGAGCCCAGTGTTAGGGTGCTGAGCTATGCCCCAGGTAGGTAGACAGTTCTGTCATCCTGCTCCCCCAGGACCTGCTGGTCAGGCTGGGGGGCTCTAGGTCCTCAAAGAGCCTACAGAATCAGTGCTGTCCAGTGAAGGACTTGCATAGACATTATCAGCATCATGGTCCATCACCCCTTAGATACTGTCCGTGAATCATGACATCACTCCTTAGATCACTTAGACTACTAAGTGCAAGAGAGGAAGAGGTAAGATGGATTGATACAGTGTCTGTGCAGTGGGTTCAGGTGTGTTGAAGATGGTGAGGACGGTACAGGATAAGGAAGGTTGTTCACAGGGTCACTGTGAGTCATAGTCAACTCAATAACTTGTAACAACAACATCAAGTCGACTAAGACTCACAACAACCCTTTCCCGCACCATCCTCATATCTCTGACCTGCTCAAGCCAATTGTTAACAGTCACTGTCTGTCAGTCCATCTGTTGAGGGTCCTCCTCTCTACCTCTGACCCTGCCTTTCCCAGCATGAAGTCTTTTCCCAAGGTATGGCTCCAGACAACATGTTCCAAGTATGTAAGATAAGAGGTTCGTCATCCTTGCCTCTTAAGAGCACCCTGGTTGCACTTCCTCCAGGGAAGTAGTAGAAAAACCAGGAGGATTTGCCGCCTCTCAGGAGTCAACCAGCTTTGTGTTTGCAGAGAGCGAGTTGTGCATTGAATTTGAGAGTCGGCCAGTGTGTCTCAGGTCTGACTCAGCCTCCCTCCCATGTTCCTGCAGCAAGAGCCAGTGTCCCTCAGTCCCTGCCGTGTCCCTGCCCCCTCACAGTCTGCTCTTCATCCTTCAGGCCCACTGGACACAGACATGCAGCAGCTGGCCCGCGAGAACTCCGTGGACCCCGAGGTGCGAGAGAGCCTGCAAAGGCTGAAGGAGAAGGGGAAGCTGGTGGACTGCGGGGTGTCGGCCCAGAAGCTGCTCAGCTTGCTGCAGAAGGATGCGTTCCAATCTGGAGCCCATGTTGACTTCTACGACCAATAAGTCCCCTGCTGGCGCCCTGGGTCTTCCTGCCATTTTGCAGGCACCCCTGGAAGCCCCACGGTTCCTTGTGTCCAGCACAGTGCCTTCTCCCCACTGCCTTAGCACAGATGGGCACTGGTGCTAGCTGTGCAGACCCTAGGCTCGCTGGGTTTACCAGCCCCCCAGAGGCTGTGCCGAACACCCAAGCTTCTACAGGAGGCTTAGGAGAGGGAACCTTTGGATGTTGGTGTTCTGGACCCCAATGAATAGACTTCAGGCGTGGGAAGTACAAAAAGAAAAACAGGGGCCTAGCAGAGAGGGGAGAGGCACACAGCAGTGTCCCCATGCAGATGCTCCCTGCCTCAGGTAACGGGGCCACGTTTTGAACTTCCTATCTTATCCTCATGCCTCTTCTCTCCAGGACTTTCCAGCCCTCTCAGGCTGGGGGTGGAGGCCCTACGTACATTTAAAAGGCATGTACAAATAAAACGAGGAGTGGCCTGCTCTGTGAGTTACTCTGAATTACTGACCCCTGCTTTTTCTCCTGCCTTGCGGCCCACGTGTTTCCTGAGTGATTAACCCCAGTCTAGGGTGCTACTCTTATGTCCTGGGAAGTTTTCTGCCTCCTCCTCTCATCAAGCCCCCCTGTGACACATCCACTTTTGTGCAAAGTTGACTCAGAGAGGCGCGTCCAGACTCCAAGCGTTGGTCCTGACTGGCCCAGCTTGTTGTGTGCCATGAAACAGGAACCGACTCATAGCTGATCCTCCAGTGAGTTGTCAGAGACAATACATTGTAAAAGAAGAGACTGCTAGTGGATTTGAACCATCTGCCTTTGGGTTGGCAGCTAAACTCCTTACCCACTAGGCCCCAGTTGAGGAGCCATGAAGGCTAAAGTGCCAGACTATTAACCGAAAGGTGAGTGGTTTGAGCCCACTTGCCACAGCTTAGGAGAACAATTACAGCCTTGGAACCCCATGGGCCAGCTCTCTGTCTTACTGGTGGGCATATCCTCAGAGGGCGGTGGGCTTGTTGACTTGGTTTTCTCCACCCTTGGTCACTCCCTCGGCCATCACTTCTGTGTGGGGGTGTTTCCCTGCCCCCACCCAGTTGTCCTGTGCCAGTCCTCCGTCCCTGTCACGAGTGCTGGGGAGGGGACAGGGCTGTGGCTTTGTGCATCGGGGATGGGTTTACAAGACCAGGGCTGCAACTGCGCTGACCCGGTCTATGTGTCTGTAAATGGTGGGGGCGTGGGAGAATTTCTGCCCTCATGCTGGGTCTGCAACCAAGTTTTGCCTGGCCCTCTGCGGGAAGGTGTCCTTGCAATACCACTTATGCACAGCAGAGGGTGCACAGAGGCCGTGCTTCTCTGTGAAGTTTCTCAGCTGCAGATCAGGCCTAAAGCCCTCCAGACCTGTAATGTCCCTGGGCAGGCCGAGCAAGGAAGGTTATTGGAAGGTTATTGGCTGTTAACTTGGTCTACAGAACTCACACCTCCCTGGGGTCAAAATCCTGCGCTACCCCTGACCAGGGCAACCTGGACAAGTTGCTTTGGGGTAGCTATTCTATGATAATGGGGTTTATTGGGAAAGCAACAAGTTACAAGTCAGAGTCAGAAGCAATTCCAGGTACAATTATTTAATGAGTAGTCAGTCTCCTCTCAGCTGAGTTGCAGACAGGCCCCTCTCTGGTCCAGGGCTCCTTGGCCTCTTGCCCTGGCCTCTCCCCCACTTGGAAAAGTGTTACAAAGCCTTTCTGTTTTGCCAGTAAGAGCCTAGGGCCATCCCACCATGGCAGCAAGCCCATCTGTCCCTAAGCTCTCCCAATCCATGGGCAGCTGACCTACCAGTCACTTTTTGCCATCTAGTGCCACCAGTGTTAAAAAGTGATGCTTGTACGATTTCAAAAAGTACTACATATAGAGATACCATTTGACCCAGCAATTCCACTACTGGGAATATACCCTGAAGAGACCATAGCTGACATCCAAACAGATATATGCACACCCATGTTCATTGCAGCTTTGTTCACAATAGCAAGGAGTTGGAAACAACCTAAGTGCCCATCAACAAACGAATGGCTAGAGAAGCTGTGGTATATTCGCACAATGGAATACTATGCTGCATTAAAAAACAAGGAACTCATGCAATATTATTCAAAATGGTTGACTCTGGAGAACATTATGCTGAGTGAAATATCCCAGTCACAAAAGGACAAATATTACATGATGCCACTGTTGTAGAATGGGACTGTCCTTGGGGTTAGGGAGACACTGAGTAAGATGGGTTCAATAATGTATACTGCACTGAAGCAGAGGAGGGAGAGAACCATCTAAAAGAGATGTAACTGGGTATTTCTGTCATCACAGGAGACTAGGGCGAGGGCTGCATGGTGGAGGGGACCTTGGGGAGGGTTTGTAAAACAATGAAAGAATCTTTTCTTTTACTTTTCCATAATTTTTGGACTCATGTACTTATAACTTGTTAGTCAAATTTGTGTCTTCTAGGTTGCAACACCCCCATGATACATCTTGAAGGATATGTACATGTACAGCCAAGCACAATCAATAAGAGTGCATCTGAATTCCAAAATCAATCTCCATAATAGTCTATGTGTTTCCTACTGCCAAAGGGGCCCTTTAGAGTAGTGAGAGAAGATCTTCACCCTGAAACCCACAGCGTCCCTTTTCAGCAGGAAGTAGCTAAGAGAATACGCCGTCCCCTTTTCCTTATGACTCAGGGTGAAGTCTCTCTCAGGGAGGAGTGATAGGGAATGGCAAAGGATACACTGACAAAGAAGATTAATCAGAACTGGCTTTGACAAGCACTGTGGCATTTGGACAAGAACAAACTGGGAGGAGGGTAAAGAGAATAGTGCAACAATGAATGAGTGGAAGCCCAAAATCTCTGTAAATGTTTATGAAAATTAATAAAATATAATTATAGAAAAAAAAAAGTACTACATAACTTGGGAGGGACTGGAGAGCATTATGCTGAGTGAACTCAGTCTCATAAGGACAAATAATGCATAAGACCATTATTGTAGAAACAGATATGTAGTAAAACATGTCTGAGGATCCAAGTGGGACAGGGGGAACAGAGGGGTGAGGATGGGCAGGGGAGAAATCATAGGGTTATACCATTTGGTGGGTGGAGGGACAGGGAGTTGGTAAAGGAAATGGGAATAATCGGGTGGGGATCTGGAAAGGCAGCCTAATGGTGGGCATAGTTCAATTGTGATTCATCTTATAAAACATAATGGGAGAGACTGTATGAAACACAATATGAATGAAGAATAGTGGGAAACACAATGTATATGAACTTTGTAAGCAAACCAATATAAAATAGAAATTTAATTTTTAAAAAAATTTTTTTGTGCTTCAGTCTCTCTGTTTTTAATCAGCAAAGTCACCAGGTGTTTATTAAATGGCTCAGTCTCTTTATGTGAAAAGTAAGTTATAATGGCATTTATCCCAAGGAGTCATTATCAAATGGCCTGGCTGTAAATGGCGCAGCGGTGACATCTCAGGATGCCCTCTCATTCTCTATCTCGGCCAGCTGTCTCCAGTCAGAACTCACAGCTGACCCTCCAGAGGGTCTCCACTGCTGTGCATCATTCAGGAGACGGCCCACCTTTCTCTCGCAGAGTCGCTGGAGGGTTTGCAATGCTACGGGCACTGCCCCGGGTGAGTGGCACACTTCCCAGGGGCCTACACCTCCAGACCTCCCTGCCACTCTCAGTGGGAAATTGCATTTTCCTTCTCTGACAGCTGCTGATGGTACAGAACCACCAGAGAGAGACTATTTTGGGGTTAACAATGAAACTCTATAGATGAGGCCGCCAGAGCTTGTTGGCATTGCAAGAAAACTCAAAATCTACTGTTCAATGAACAGAACTCAAAACTCACTGTCTAGCAGGAACTAGCTCATAGCTGACCTTCCAGGAGGTTTTCCGAGGCTGTAAATCACAGGGGAGGTTGCCCATCTTTCTCCAAAGAAGCTAGTGATCTATTTGAATCACCAGAGAGGCACCACCTTTGGGTTGAGGGCAAAACTCCGTGTGGACTAGGGACTACCCCATAAATACCAAGTCTAATGCCTCCAATTCCCATTTCATCTGGGAGCCCCACTTGCAGCACCAGCCCTTCCCTGTGCTGACCTGTGTGGGAACACTCCCTCTGGCCCTGGAGGTGGGGGGCGAGGACTGGGGCTCATCTGCCTTCTCCACACTCACTGGGCTAGTGCACACGCAGAGCCCCGCCCTCTCTGCGCTCAGGACCGGTGAACACGACCGCTTTCCTGCAAACCTCCAAGGGGTTCTGGACACGCTCGTGCTGCAGCCGGTGGCCTCAGCGCAGCCGGCCCCTTCCTGTTGTAGCTGCGTAGGCTGATTCCCTCGCCGCCCCTCGTTCCCGAGGGGACCGGGCAGCAGCACCCACCATTGCATCACCTGCTTAGTCGTAGTACCACGCGCTCCCACGAGGTGGCGAGCCTCGCACGCTGACACTTGATGGTCAGCAGGTGGGATACGGAACCTCAGAAATGCTTCCAAGTCCTTTCCCCAGCAGCCCAGATATCCTAGGGGTTGGAAAAGGTCTGAGAGGGGCTGGGATCATTCTCCCTTTAGGTATCAAATCCACCTTAGTGACCCATAGGGTCTGCCCATAGTGACCTCCTGGGTTGTGTCCAGTCTGGAGGACCCCTCTGGGGTGTAGCCTCGCCCCCATAACCCTCGCACCTCTCTGTGGCCCCAGGAGCGTAGCCTGGCCCTGTCTAGCATATGTGTAAGCACATGCAAGGACACACACACACACACACACACACACAAACACACACACACACACAGACACACACGCCTGCACACGCCCGGAGCAGGGGCGAGCAGGCTGCAGATTAGCCAAAAGGCAAACAAGGTCTTTGTCTTCGGCTTGAAAGAGCTGCAGCACTTCTTGGATTTGTTTTTAGCTGCCCTGAGCTGGGGGCCAGCAGCTGGCGTGTGAGGAGCAGGAGGGCCACCAGGGC